TTCAGTCTCTTAGCTGGCATTAAATCCCTATTAGGCTGGGGATATAGCTCTGTGCCTGCTAAGGAAAGCCAACAACAACACCTGTACTTATTTCCCAGTACTAGTTGTCAAGCTGATAATGATACAGCATCACTTTTCCTACACTTTTGAAAGGACATTCTCATCTACCTTCCCCCTCCACGGTTTGCTTTGAGGTAAGATGTTTTCCAAATAGCTTTTCCCACTTAAAAATATTGGTGGGTAGGGAGGGCGAAGGGCTGCGTTTAAGTCGAGGATGGGTGACTAAAGGACAGATAAGCCATCGTGGAGTGTGCTACATGCATGGGAGCCCCTGGAGGTGGGGCAAGCAGGGATGCAGAGCTGTGGGCAGTGCTGCTATCTACCAGCGCTCCGTGTCTTGCTTTAATGCAGATGTGGAAGGTCAATAACGTCAGTAAGGCTGGTCTTGCAAAGGCTGCTTATGACAAAGCATGACATGAATGACAAAGCAGAGCACTCTTTGCTTTAAATTCTGTCGTGGAAGAAAGCCCGTTGCAAAGTTGGTAGGATTCTGCATGATTTTTTCTGACCCCAATAATTTCAAATCATTGTGAGTAGATCTTTAAGATGGCTATAGCGGCCTGCAACAGCTCTCAGAAGCCTGCTTGGGGCAACTTATTTACCCCCAAAATTCGAAACTGTGCATGTTTATATAACTGTGTGAGACAACAGATGTTTTTTTTTTCTCTGCTCTCTTACACTATGACAAACATCTGGGCCATACAGCACACTTGAATTTTTTAACTCCTGTGGCACATCTGGTCTGAGGAGGAGCTGGGCTGTAGGAGACAGCTTGGAAAAATGGATTTGAGGCTGCAAAAGTGCTGCTGGTGGTTGGCTGTGATCCTGCGGGAAAATGAGATTTTTTTACAGCCTGGACATTGCTTTAGTGGATCATTTGTGTAAGGAAGTAACATGGAAAGTCACCTGACATGGTAGCTATCGGTCCACAGCTGGAAAAAAAACTCCGAGTGCCCAGTGTGGTGGCATGGTACCAGGGCACATACTGCTGGGGGATCTCCTTCACCCTGCATAGCTAAGGAGTTTTTTATGTTATCCTCTCTTGCATGCCAAGGGAAATCCCATGATTATAGACCAACGTACATGGGGGGTCAAGAAAATTTTCTGTAGGGTCTTGAAGAACCTCAAAGTATTCCCAGGTACCACTGCAGCGTGGCTTGTAAAAAGAACATGTTCCTCCACGTAAGGGTCAATTTTGGGACCTTTCGTGATGTTCCTGTCCTTGTCTGACCTTTGAACACCTCAGCTGGAGCTCTTTTCTGTTCCTGGCTCCTCTCTGGGCCTGTGGGCCCTCTCCTCCACCAGCTCAGAAACTACCCACCCGCCTCTTGGTGAATTTGCTCCTGACAATTTGCTCCTGACTTTCTTTCCAGAGTAGCCTGTTTCAGCAACTCTGCAGGGCTTGCGGTGTAAATGGCAACTATAAAAGGCAAGTGTCACTAGGCATATTCAGTCCTTGCTGCCTCATACCAAGCTGGGGCACATCTACCTGAGCGCTCACATGTGAGCGGTCGAGAGGGCATTTGGGCAGATGCCCTGGAGCAGGAAGGGCACACCGGCCAGGCTGAAGCAAAATGATGCTGAGCAGGAGTGTGGGCAGCCTGCCAGGAGCGGGGCTGGCGGGAAGGCTTCCCCATGAACCCGAACGCAAACAGACTCGCTGCCAAGTAGAGCTACTCCTGTTCCAAGGAGGATCACTTAATGCAGTTTGAGTTATTGGCTCATTTGTTGTAGGAAAGGGCTGTGTGGACACAAGGCACTGTAAGAAGAACAAACTAAAATTACATCTGTGTGCAAAAAAGGGCCTAGGAGTGTATTTATATCTCTGCTTTGCAGTGCAACTGTTACTGAAAGCACAATATAAATCATTATGTAAAATCAGAAAACCTTTGGTCTCTGTAACATACCTGACATGAGACCACATGCTCAATAGGTTAAGCAGAAATGCTAATACCTGATGCTCAAGCAGACCTTTTGTGGTACCTAATCTACAGTGGCTGTTCTTAACATATGGGGCATTTGCTTTGGCAAATGGATCTGGTAGCAGTATTTGGTGCTTTCCCATTTGACAACCAAAATACTGACTCACAATGTCTCTGTTTAAATTTTTTGGGGGAACCTTCCCTTCCTTCCCCATTGGCTGTACCTTCTGAACTTAGAAAAAAATTAAGCAGAATAATTTACTTTAAAACCTGGAGATTTTTTCTGCATCTCCTGAGCAGTTTAAAGCAACTACATGAAACACAGATTTAGAAATCCTGTATTGCAGGGTAGGGAGTCTTTATAAGTATGTGTGATTGGGTCTTCAGACTGTCCCAGGGCCATGGCCTTCTGGGAATCTGGGCACTCTTTGATGTATTTCAGACTTGGAAACACATGCTGGAGACACATGCTCTATCACATATGCATAAATCTTGTCACTTACATACAGATTAATGGGAACCAGCATAGAGTAAAAATATTCCACTTTTTATGCTATGCACCATAAAACATGGTAAATACTTTCAGTTTATAGCAAGAGCTAAGTCTTGCCATCCCCACCCAGCACGCAGTTCCCTCTTTTTTAGGCATTTGGCTTAGGCGTTTGGCTTTCTTCACAGCTTAAATTTTGATCCAAGTAACAGTATTCTTTCCACATACTTTCCTAAGTATATATAAAACACTCTCTTTCCATGTGCTCTCCTAAGCTACCAGTAAAGTGCTGCTAGCTGGTGAGTTCTACTAACAACTCCCCAGCTAACAGTGTTTTGATGTCTCAGTTTGTGTCGCGTTTAGAAAGATCCTTATACCTTATTACAAAAGTCCATCTAATTTCATAGTTTTTGCAGAAATTGGAAGTCATTTTAGGACATTATACCGCACGGTAAGAAAAAGGAACACAAAAGGATGTAAGGTATTTTCCAGGTAGACTATCTGGTCCATGAGTCGAGGTGACATGTTTGCAGTAGCCTAACCCCTTATGGCAAATCTCTTGCATCCTCATAATGTTGGGATCCTAAATACCTAAATTACCTTTGAAAATGCCACTAAGGATCTAACAAAGTTATTATTGGTCACTTAGGCCAAGGTACAAGACTGTTTGTAGCCTGCTCACTGGACATAACAATGCACTCGCACTCATTCAAACCTGGGTGCAGGTAACATATGACTGCAGAGGCTGAGCTACTTGAAAGAAAACCTCAGCAAGGCTAAGAGAAGGAAAAGCAAAGATAATGGAGGAGAAACAGCTATATTAACCATCTGCAGGCCCACATGGTCTCTACATCAGCATCCATAAAACTTGAAAGGACAAAAGAAAAGGAAATTGCTTTCAAAATAGCAAAGACAATTTTATAAACATTTCTGTAGTACTTGGTCTTCTGCTTTTATAGGGTGTTGTACTTGTTGCCCTATTTCTGGCATTAGAAACGCTGCATGACTTAGCTTTCAGGGTGGAGAAAAGTGTACCCCAGGAAATTCTTCCCTTTACTTTCCTTTCTACCCCACTTGTCAGAGCATGTGCACACACATTAGTTTAAACTAGTGGGTCTTTTTCTTAAGCAGCCCAATTGCAATGGTTGCTTGGCACTTCAGCCAGCGATGTTGCCCTTCACATCAAACCAACTCGCATGGCCTGGGCCAGAGCTGGTCCCGACACACCGCTGTGAACGGGGAACCCTCCTAACACCAAGCAGCTGCACGAAAGAATGATCCCGTCTGAGATAAGGGCTCCAGCGGTAACACAGGGGACTCCTCGGTCTAGGCTTCGGGTGCAACCAGTGCAGCCTTGTGAAACCAGTGCAGATTTTGGCTGTCATTAGCTTTATAGCTCTTACAACTCCCTTAAGCAAGAGCACAGTCTTGACTGTCCTTTCCTCGCGCTGCAATGCCAGTTTACGCTACCTGTGCCTCCCAAGGCTTGTTTCCCTCCCAGAGTGATAGAAAGGCTCTTTTCTGGGCTAATTTTAAACCGGACTGGATCCCAGGCCTGAATGACTGCGCAGCCCCCATGTAGCCCTACGAGTGCCCGAGGGGTGCGGTGCCTGGGAACAGGGGGCCACTTAGCAATCTTGATGGGTGCAGTGATGAGGGGCCTGGCAACTCAGGGCAATTTTAAACACGTGGAGAGAACACCAGTTTTGCTACCTACTATGGAGCTTCTTAAAGAATTATAGAGCTAAAAGGAGACGTTTTCTAGAACATAAGTGTCACTTGTGCTTTTGAAACTGATCCTGATGGCACTTTGCAAACTTTTAATCATTTTAGAATAAGGGCACTGAATTTGAATTTGAATCTAATGTTAAAAGCAGAGTCACACCAGGCTTCAGTTTTTTCTCTTGTAAGCAAAGAGAACAAGTGTATACTTCACAGCTTTTGACCATAGAGTTCTCTCTAGCTTAAGACACAAATTTTGCATAAATGCAGAGCTCACCAATTATCATGGCTTTATCAACAACCTTATTAGTGATCATTAAAAATAATCTTGCTCAGAAGGGGACTGCTATATGCAAAGCCCATCTTTCCTATTTACTTTGTGACTATTAATGCTTTTTTTAACGTTTATACATTAGTGTAAGGAATAGTGTTAGCATAATTCCAGTGTAAAATAAAACCAGCTGTATCCATTATAAGTGCATTACTGCCAGGAACTGTAAATATGTTTATGCCTGATAGCCTTTTGACTCAATAATATCCTGCTATCTCTGTTGGGCAGGCAAGTTTTTAAACCAGGAAAAGACAGGTAATTTGGTTATTTTCATAACCAAACTCAGTTTCTTTTGGAAGTATATTATCTAAATTCAAATTTTAAGAAGGTCATTAAACAAATCTGTTTGTGATTTTGAAAGAGAACAATTGAAATGTCATCTTCAAAGTGGTGGCAAGAAGGTACAATGTGCACTAAGAACAAGTCATTCCTCCCAGATATACACATACGCAGACAAACCCTGCCATATCATACCATACAAACAATTTTAATTGTGTAGTTACAGTCAATAACCACTCCTAGTCAGAACATTTCTGCATAAAGAAAATTGTGATACACTTATAAAAACAGCCAGCTGTAACAAAATAACTGGTGTTTTCATAGCAATAAACTCATAAAAAAGAAATACACCTTTATACAGAAAATTTATACAGCTGTAGCTTTAAAATTGATTGTAAACCAAAGGAAGACACATTGCAAACATCAATTATTTTCACATTAATTGCATAAGTTTCTAAGGTGATCTATTAGTTTTATTTACCTAAGCTTATTTGCATGATAGTAAAAATTGCATACAACAATAAGAGTGAAGCTTATAGTATGAATTGCTTGGATAACATAGAGCACTTTTTATAGGCAACTGTGTAAAGCACATTTTCTCTATTTAAAACTTTTAAGACACTTTGTTTTACTGCCCATCAAAATACATTTATAAATAGAAAAAAAAATCAGTATGATAACAAGAGAAGCAATATTACATTTAACGGAAACTTCCAAAAAAATTAATTACAACATGATGCTGCAGGTTCTACAAATAAATAATGAGGACTAAATTGTGTTTCACATTTTCTTTTTCATTTTCTTTAAAACCATGTAACAATGAGAATGGAAAAAAAATACAGTGACCTTTATTTCCAAAAGAAAACAAATCTGAATTACGGCAGTGCCATATAATACAAGGCATTTGTTGGCATATGTTATCTTTAAACTGCATTCCACAGTCTATAGTTCTTTTGTAACATACAATAGAACAAGAGTAACAAACTCTTTTTATTTTATTTTTTTAAATAAATGTGAGTTTCCAAAGATCAAGTGTGGAGTGCTACAGTAATAATTAAAAAACAAGAACAAAACAGAAACAAAAAACAGTAAATCACAAAAGTTGTAATGCTTGTCTGAAGGCTCCAGAATCAAAATCACTGGTATCATGCTTATTGGGTACACTCACAGTGTATCCAGTGAACACAAATTAATATCAAACAATCCTCAACGCTTCATCTGTTGCTGCGAAGCAGTTTGTAAAACAGAGTAAAACATCTAGTGCAGTCTGCATTATCCTTTTTTTCAACTTTTGTGCAAGTTTTGGAAGATTCATTGGCCAAACAATGAATAATAAAGGTTTTTGACAGAACGCAAGATGGAATTTTCATTTCATTAGTAAATACCAGTGGCACTGTTGAATGAAAATAATACTTTTAGATCAGTCTTTCAATTCAGCATTAATCTCTGTGTTCCCTTCTACTGATAACTCTTCTTCTAGTTTAACTGAAAAAAGCGTGTTTGCATTTTTGTCTTGGATGCTGTCTTCTAAATCCTTGAGCAACTCTTCCTCCTTGTATTCTGCCACATCCACCTCCAAACCAGAATTGTCCTTCAGCTTCCCATGGTGCTTGAGATAATATCGCTGGTTCTGAAAGAACTTGATAATGGTGTACTTGGGTAGGTCAAGCTGAGCGGAGAGAGTCTGGATTGCTTCTTCGTCTGGATACAGGCCTACATCTTGTATGAAACTCTGCAGGATCCCGAGGGCTTCAACAGAAATCTTTGTTCGCGGTCGGGGCTTCTGACGATTTTCATCCTCAGATTCAGCTGGTGATGCTACTGTCGGTTGCCTTGGGGGTAGTCTGGGACCTGGTTGCTGTTGCTGTTGCTGCTGCTGTTGCTGTTGCTGCTGCTGCTGCTGCTGCAAGACAAAGCACATCATTTTTCGTACGTGTAATCTTGTTCGTTTTTTGTGTCATCAAGCAAATCCAGAGGAGAATTTGCAAAGCTACAAACAAAGGCTCAGTAAGTTAAAGAGAAAAGAAAAGGACTCATTATTGCTGGTACTAAGGAGAACCGGAATTAAAATATGAATTAGTAACCCCCTGCATATCTCACATGTGTCTGTATGTGTGTAAACAGAGACTCAGGATAAAGGGAAAGAGGGCTATAGACAGACAGGTGGAACAGTCAGGCTTTGTCTCATTGAAAACGCAGATGACGTGATATCGGTGTGGTTTAGCTAACAAATTTTAATGAATGCGCTCCACAAGTCAAGTGCAGACAAGACAAAATGCTAAGTAGGTGACATAGTACAGGATTAACTTGACCAGCTTAGCCAGAACTGTAGCAAGGGCAAAGTGAGAAAAGTGCCAGATGAGGGCAAACACACAGGAGCTCTGCCAGCAGCAGCAGCTGCTGCCCAAACACAAGGGCTGCAAATCTCTCGCAATGGCTAGACTAAGGGGTTGGGGGGAACAGGGAGCAGGGGAGCATTTTAGCTAAGCGCTAAAATATCCCACTACTGATCTGACCTTAGTATGCACTGAAGTCCTGTCAAACTTGCAAATATTACGACAGAATGCGTTAGCTGGAAGTGTCTACTGTCATGCTGTTAAAGCCAGTCTCGACAAGGACAAAGAGATCTGGAGGTAGGAATTCTTTATTTCCAGTTCTGGCTCTGACCCATCTTGCCTGTGGTCTCAGAGAGTGTCTGTCTTGCCTGTGCTCAAGTATCCCAACATATAAACAGGGAACAAACGTATTTACCTGCTTCAGTGTTTGTGCTGGGTATTATTTAGTTAATATTTATAAAGCACTAAGATGAAAAGCTCTAAATAAGTTGCACTATTATTATGAGAAGGGAACATGCTGCATTCCAAAAATTTAAGCAATAAAAATGAGCCAGTATGCACATCAGAAGAATAAGATAAAGCAAATCATGATGTAAATAATTAACAAGAGCTTAAAATGAAGTTTTGCAAGCATGGATTCAGAAACATTCTTAAAAGGTGAGGCACTGAGCCCTAGGGACAGAAATGTTTTTCTCATTCAGCACTGGAGTACGGTACATTATAAGATCATGTTTAAAAGCAAAAGTAAATTTATCAGCAACTGTTTTTGTTGACAATTCTTTTGCTTTACAGCACAGGAAGCACTGGTTAGTAAGATATTTTGGGTCAGCAAATTTCTCATCATATGGTACAAACCACCAGTAATTAAAAAACAACAGCAGCAAAACAGGCAGTTGCTATCACTAGATTTCATTTCCCTTTGTGAGTCTCTCCTTGGCAGTTTTGTGTGTGTCAGTCAGCAGTGGTTCCCAAACTTCCATTTGCAGCCCAGTTGCAGACCCTAAGTAGCACAAAATATTGTACAAACAATGTAAATATTGGATGAACTGTATTTCTGTCCACTTTGCAGTGCCACTTGTAGTTGTGGAGACTTCACATAGGTCTCAGCATGCACTTTAGGAGCCACTGCTCTGACTGATCTTATTATTGTAAAATCAGACACAATTAGGGCTCTTGTCTCATCCTTATTCACATACATTCATGTTTTATGGTCTGTGAGCAGTCCCATTCAAGCAATCCCAAAGAGATTCAAGACTCTACTCCCAGCACATAAAATTCTTACAAGACTGGAGGCTTTGTATATACATCTTTGAAAACTTGTGTCTTAACTACATATTTATGCATCTGCAACAATTACAGTGTAGAAGAGCATAGACAAAACTCAGGTCCAATCTCCCAATCCTTACTCTTACAAGTCATATTAAGAGATGACAATGCAACTGCTTATGTGAATAATATTTGTAAGATCAAACACACAACTTATCAACAAGGCAAGAAAATCTAAATAAGTGGCATAGTGGTAGAATGCTTATACTGCGCAGAAGCTTCTCCTTTTATCCCCTTAAGAAGTGATTTTATTAAAAACAATGTACATTTTCAAACAAGTGCTGTTTTATTACTTAATATAGATCTTTCTCTCTCTTTTTGCTAAATCAAACAGTAAGTTTCCAGGCTTTCACAATTATTTTAGTACTTGATATCCTAAGGGATTGTCTTATTCAGTTTGCTTTATCTTTAATATACACTCATGTTGTTTCTGGCTGCTAGATAACTCTATCCTTCCTAGCTTTGTAAACATTTTTCTACATAGGTAATACAAGTGATACCCTAGGTCTCGGTTGAGAGCTCTGAAAAGCATCTGTAATTTCTGCCCTTTAAGAGGAAGCAGATAAAAGGCTGACCTCAGATCTTTAATGGGAAGGGATTAAAGAGCCTTGGGCTCGAAGAGGCAACAGTCCACGCTGCCGAACCACCCTACGCTCCTGAAAACAACAGCCAGCCACGCTCTGGGGTTTGCGGGCCACCTCGCTCGTACACATGGTTACTGTGCGAGCGGAGCGGTTGCACATCCCCGAACGACACGGCCCTGCTACGGCTGCTCTGGGATATAAGACGTGGTGTGGAGCGGGTCCTGAAAGCCCTCGTTTCTCTCCCTGACCCGTTGAACTCGTGCCAGCTCACCTGCGGAGCAGCACCCAGCCACGGTCCAGTGGTCAGCAGGCCTGGTAAGAAAACGCCTCTATGCTCTCCTTTCCCAAGGGTGGTGGGAGAGGGGCTCTAAAGGAAAAACAAACAAACATTGACTCATCCCAGGTCTCAGCTGGGGTTAAAATGGGATGAGGATTCTGGCTGGGTCCCCTTCCCTTCACTCCTACCTGAGGTGAACCACTGCTCTTGAAGGTTTCTGACTGTACTTAAGGTTTTGGATGACAGCATAATTTCCTCGCACCTTTTTGGAAACATATTTGAAAAACAATGCCAAGTACTTCTGTCGTTCGATCCTGACGTCTGTCTAGCTATGGACAGCTAACACGGGCGACTGCTCCTTCACCGACAAACAGGTGCACGTGAGCCGTCGTATCTATGCAAGCTTAAAAAAAGCAAACCAAAACAAAGATGTGGGTGGTCACCTGCTCTCCTTTCAATCCTGGTGGTGGATGGCAGCACACCGTTATCTCTCGCTAGGAGGAGACCTGCATTTAGTCTGGCCAGAAGGAAAGAAACACTAATTTCCTTTGCTACGTTTAAAGCTTTATTTACTTAGTGCTCTGCTGGATTGGCCAAGGTAAACTAACCTGAATCTGTTCTGCTGGAACATGGATAATGTGGGAAGGCCTGTCACCATGGTGATGAACTGCATTGCTTTCTTGTTCATAAATGGCATCTCGTTCAGGCTGAGGAAGACTGAGGAACCTTCGGATCATGGAGAGATTCTCCCAGAGGGTCCTGTTCTCTGGTGAGGGATCTTCTTTCCAACGTAACAGCTCACAGAGCCACCCCTTGAAGATAACACCAGCAAAATATTAGTTTTCCTCACTTCACGAGGGGCAAAGGAGGGCGACACGCGTACTTTAGCAACGCTGCATTCTCGCACGCTCTCTCCTGGTTAGAAATGGCTTTCTCTTTCAATGCTGGGTTTAAAGCAGACATGGATACACCAAGAGGCTGCCACCTTATTTCACAGACTCTTGCAAAATATGAGCCTTTGGGAAAGCATGTTTTTTGTTGGTTCCACACAGCAGCTCTGCAGTTGGTTTAGAAACACACCTATTGATCAAGGCAGAATCCCTTATGTGCTCCAATATGCGGGACAGTGTTTTAACTGACGCTAGTATATTTTTTTCTGCTGCCTATTTTCTTTTATGTAAGCCTACATCCATCTGAGAACAGCAACACTGTGTTTCAGCAGCTGGTAGGTTGTCTTCTGGCCATTTTTAAAAATCCTGGTACTATAGTTTTTCTTACTCCAAATAAGAAAATACTTCAAATATCTGCCTTGACTGTAGAGCGGCCTACTGTAAATCATAATGATCGAGGAGCTCCCTAATGCCCTTTTAAAAGAAAGGAATCTTCTGACTAGATGCTGAAAAGTAATATCTTCTTCCTATCTGCTATGAGTAGAGGTGCCTCTGCAGGTGAACTTATTTCATGTGATAGATGTTTATCTCTTTCAGGATTTTTCTCATAGATCAAGAAAAAAACCCAGTCTCACAGTTTTATATATGCTGTGAGGGTTTTGGGAGGTGGCAGGATACGCGCAGGTTTCTGGGCTGCTCTTTACACCATTTCCAGATTACAGCCCAGCGAGCTGCCTAAGAGAGCACCTCCTCTAATTCAGATGGGGTTTGGAGAAACAGGCTGTGAGGTGGCCAGAAGAGTGCTCTGCAAGAACTGCAGCAGTTGCTAATTCGCCTCTAAAGCAGACATACAAAATTCATCTTGGAAACAGAACAACTGTTTTTTTTTTAATGTCTTTGTAAAATTTAATTGAGGATTTTTTTCCTAATTTTGTACTGATTGATTTAAAAGAATAGTGCAAACACAGTAGCTAGAACAATGTGCATCAGCAGCAATTTTTTGGTATGTTAAAATTTAGAAACATAAAATATTACATGTATATGACATGCATATTTCTTTTCTTAGCTTCAAGGATCTGTTTTCAAAACTATGTCCGTGCAATTTTATTTTTTAATGCTGTAGGAAAGATCATGTGACATTTTATTGAATCAACAAATAATATAAAGGTACAGAAGCTTTTAGATCCTTTTTATATGCAGTGGTAGTTTAAAAATGGTTTATCCAGACTAGTTCTACTACTAGATACAATAGATATATAGATACAATAGAGAGATAATACGTATTTTCTTGAAGACATTCGTATCTTTAGCTAGCAGTTAATAAATGCAGTGTAAAAATATCACCATAATAGGAAGAGGTGAAAGTAAACATATAATCTTAATTCATTCATATTGAATAAGAAAATATTTAGTGAGGTGTGCATAAAAATTTAAAATATACGCTCTTGGATATAAGTGGCAAACGGAGCAAATGACACAGGAGAAAATGTCCCTGAGAAACAGAAATAATCAAAATGACAAATGTTAGAGAGACAGTGGTAGTACAGCTGAGAAAGCAAAAATGTAAAGGGGGCCCAAATCAGCTGATGCTCAGTAGGCATGCTCGCGAGGGAAGCGAGCAGCAGCAAGACTCGGGCAGCACCGGGCTCTGGGGCGACCCATCGTGCAGCAGGGTGCTAACGGCAGACAATGGGTATTGTCCTGCAACGGCACCACGGCTTGGCAAGTTCATTAGGAAAGGTGGCCAAACGCCTTCAGACAGGGCACATAACACACAGGACGTCCTACCTAGAATTGCACTTCATACTTCTAAAACAGCAGCAAGGATATGTGAATTTTCCCTCTCCATCATAAGATGCCTTGGGATACGTGAGCACGCTAACGTATGGACTATCCCTGCACCTAACAATCGACACGTGGCTCTCTCCGTCCTCTGTCCATGTGCTTTCATGGGAAAAAGGCAGGATGATGCTGAACGGTTGTACTAGTTTTCTGCAACAAGTTAGAAGAGGTGCAACCAGAAAGCACAGGTGAGGAAGGAGAGAAGGTGAACAGAATCAAGCCAAGATCTTTTAATTAAAATACAGTTATGAAAGTTTTACCTTTAAAAAAAAAAAATCTCCCAACCCCAAAGCATAACAACTGTCCTTTGGTTGTCTGGAGTCTGCACTGTTTCACATTAGGTCCTCTTTCTAATGCTGGTAAAACAGAAAGCAAAGCTGACTATCACAATAGTTCAGTGAATGTAAAAAACGACGAGAGACAACCTGTCCCCTCCCATTACAGCTCTCTAAGGTATATATATAGACTGAAAAAGAAATTACACCATCGTTCAGAAGCTGCACATATTCTGTCTGGGGACCATGTGCATCACAGATGTTCTTTGGAAAAATACAGTAGAAACACTTTTTTCAATGTCCAGTAATAATAATAATTCATAAGCAATCACATTTTATGCTGATTAAATATGTATTTCACAACAATAGCTTTTATTAACTAAGTAATTCCTCCCCCCCGCCTTATTGCCTTTTCTGTGTTTCTGTACTTACTAGAGTGGTCTTTATTTTTATTAATTTCTGATAACTAACACTACATTTCCAGTAGTTTGCTATTAACCTTTGTACTGAAATAATACCTCTAATTCTTTATCTAAAAATAATTCGATGAATTGTAAGCCGAAGCATTCCTCTGCCAGCCTTTCACGGGAAACAGTGATTAGAAGATACCAAAATCAGATGCTTGGGACACAGTATATAGACTGAAACGCTAACAAAATCTCTCTTTTCCACTGTATTCTTCATTTCTAAAGAAGCAGATATGTATTCTCATGAAATGTATGCTTGGCAACATGGAACCAACCAACTTAATTCTTCTAAAATTACAAGGATTTGAGCAACTTTTTGTTCTTCATTAATTATTTCTGAATATATTTATAAAAGCTGATATTCTGATTCTTCTGATATTCTCAGAAGAGAGGGTAAATGGGCAGTAACAGAAGCTAAACGGTTTAACTTTCTCAGAGGACAAAAAACTTCATGCCAATATGATTTCTTTTGATCCAAGCAGGAAAAAAAAAAGAACACGAGTACTCTGCTTCGTTTCAGGTTCAGACTTCTGTATCTAGCATAAAGCTCAATCATAAAAGTCAGCTAAATGAGAATGTATGAAATATTTCTGTAACTTCTAGGAAAAATAATCAGCCAGACTTTTCTAATTGGGGGTTTTAAGTTCTGTAAATTTCTAAGTTTGGTTTCTATTTGATCTGAAGATGTTTAAAATGCTGTAGTTAATACAGTTTAATTTACACGTGAACCTAACAGGGCTGAATTTTGTCCTCTTTCACTCATTTAAGTCTAGAGTGATTTCTGTCAAATTCACATGATTTATTCTTGATTTACCAAGATCACTATAACCAAAAGAAGGCTTGAAACTCTGTGTTTTCATGTCTTTATAATCTTACGAGAAGAGGAAAAAACTACAAGAGTATAAGGAAATGTTTATAATCCAAATTAGATCACCATCAGTTTATACAGCATATATGATACGTTGTTAAAAAATAGCCTTAAAATTATTAGGCCAATATGCAGCACGACAAACCCCCCAAACTCTGCAATGACATTGGGAACAACCTTAATTTTAAAACACAGCAAATTTGCCAGGCAACATTACACTGAATATAAAGAGAGTACAAAGCAAAATATAAACATTAGCCACATGTAAATATGTTTGTAGAACTTTCAGGATGTTACTACTTTTCAAACTGACAAAGTTTAATTTGACACCTTCTGTTCTAAAACCTTTGTTTCTATTCAAAATCACGCCTTTAGCTGCTATCAATCACTGTGCTCTCCCCATTACTTAAAATACTGGCATGGGCCCTGGATAAGCTGAAAATGCCATGCAGATGAATTCTGAGATAATATGTTCAAACCTGTTATATACAACACAAATCCTGTAAAGTTATGTATTGTAAACCTACATTTATTGGGAACTAAAAGTCTTAAATCCATCTGCTACAAAGAAAATACTGTTATGCACTTTCAAGTAACCAAGTACCATCTGCAAAGGTCTTGCAACAGCAAGCAAGAAAATGGTGAAAAAAAAAAAGATGCTAAACCTAAGATATTTAAAATAAATAAGAGTCTTCTGTCTGAGTTTCTGATGGGGATTTAGTAAAGAAACATAAGACATTAGAGGAAAAAAATCTGTGAAAGCTGAACTGCCAAACTAGCGCAGGAAAAGCGCAAAGAGGATAACTGACAAACATTAGAATCTGCAAGACCCATGAGCATGCTTATTTTAAAGAAAGCATCTATCCATTTTATCTAAGTATCCAACTGATATTTTATTCAGACAACTTGAATTGTGCTGTTTAAATAAAATGTTCTGCTCTCTCCTGCTTTCACTCAGAGTTTATAACAAACCTTTCTAGCTATCCCGTATCTTTCTTATTAAACAAAAAAATTGATGATTTAAATCTGCACTCAGGGTGCAAATACCAATTCTAACTAGATCAAAGAGGGTAGTATTACAATCATTAAAGATGTTCTCCAGGCAAAGCCTCCCAAATCAGCAAAAAATATATCTAGTCTTGAAAGAAAGGGCTTCTAGGTAGAGCAACTGGACTCTTTTGTTTGGCATTATTTGTTATACTGATAATACTTTGTTAAATGATGAATATTTCTTACAGTATAACTAACAAGGAATCAAATATTTTTAAAAAGAGCTGTAATTTGAATCTAAAAAGGCAAAACGCTTTACAGTGTCAGTGCTAAGACAGGAACAGTTTTTCTTCGGTACAGTTTAAGTGAGATCATTTTGTATCGGTCTCTGGGGCATATAGTATAATAAAAATATATGATGTTAGAAGGAATCAGTCTAAATAGGGAGGTATTTGATACAAACATTTTAGCAGAAAGTGT